AACATTTGATCTTACTAAGTAAGGTAATGACTTTAAACTATTCCCATAACCACCAACATCAAAACCTTTAATATTTAAGAGTCTAATTGCATGACCTCTCTTCATAGTGCCATCTAAAATATTATTTCAAATTTTTAGCAATAAAACATTTATTTATAATAAAGTGTCAAAGAGACCAAGCTACTAAATTGCCTTTGATACTCCAAAGATCATGTCTTTCTGTAGCAACCAGCTTTTCAATGTCACCACACAAACTAAAAAAGAATTAACCTTCCAATTTTCAACTACAATCTCAATTTGTTATAACATTGTCCTTACACAATCTTTCTAAATAATATTAAATTTAATAATTAACATTAGGAAAATGTAATGCTGCTCAAATATATAACTAGTGAAGTACTTCATCTAAATTATTTGCTACAAAACCATTGTGATATACTTTTTTTGTGTATATTTCATAAAGAGATTTAATGACTTTATAAGCCAATATAAGTCTATACTTGACATTAAGTTCTTCAAGTTCATACTAAGATTTATTATTTTAAAAATATAGCACCTAAAAAAAATATATTAATACTAACAGATTATAAGAATCTTAAAAATATACGAATAAATAAAATTATTTGATTAACTGCTTGCACATGGCATTTACTAGTCTTTTACAACTTTAAATTTATATTACTTGGTGACACATTGTTCAAATCATCTAAAATATTCTAAAAAACCACTGAAGTAAATAAATTATATTAAATATTTTTTATAAAAAATCTGAATTATTCTCAAACTTCTTTCTTTACTTAAAATCATTTACTAGTTAAACAATTATACATATACAACCAAATCATGAAATTAATTTATTAGCAACTTCTTTTTTTTTTTTTGCTTAGAATAAAGAAGCCAAAAAGCATGTAAAACTTGACTTAAATCTTTATTTCATATAGCTACTTTTATTTTATTTTAGAATGATATAGAAATATTCTATAAAAATAGCAATATGATCCTAGAAGCTTAAAAATCTTTTTTAATGCAATTCAATTTAAATTTTCTATAGTTTTTTAGATTTTATTCACTTTTATAGGATATATATATATATATATATATATATATATATATATATATATATATATAATATTTAATTAAAACTTATAAAAGTTCTTAGATGCAACTAAATTAATTTTAATTTCTAAAATAAATTAATATCTAAGAATTTGTTTTGCTTTTGTAAAAAAATATATTGTGATTAATTTTTTAAATAATTTTTTTGATATATCTATTATTAATATTTTAAGAAAAAATTAAACTTAGTTGACACGTTTTAAGACTTTTGTCTAATTTTATTGAGTATATTTCAATTTTTTTTGAATAATTTGTAAAAAATTGTTAATAAGAAATAGTAATTTATTTTTTTGATAGAATCATATTATAAAGTGATATATTAAATATAACATCTCCTTTTATTTGTATATTTTCTATATACAAATAATGATTTTTATAGCAATGTAAATTTTAGTTGGTATATTAGTACTACTAATTTATGTAATTGTTTGCAACCAAAAAATAATTATTTTTATGTCTACTACTAATAAAATAAGAAATAATTTTAAAAAATTAAATTAATAATTATTTATTATAAATACACATATAAAAAATATATAATCTAAAAATATTAAAATTAAGTAGAAGTAATTTACTTTATTATTCCTAAGAATTCATATTTTATAGATTTGGTTTAGTTAAAAATTATAATGATATTTTGTAAGATTTTTATTATTGAAAAATTAAAAATAATTTTTTATATTTTAAAAATATTTTTAAATTTTTATTTATATATATATATATATATATATATATATAGGAAAATATTAAATAGTTACATGTTTTTACTAAAATGAGCCACCCTTAATGAAGAATATGATAATTATAATGAATGTGGTTGGTTTTCATTGGTTTCATATCCAATTGTAGAGAAGTGAATTTAGAGGTCATTTTCTTTTTATGATGGTTAGAATGGATATGTTAATTTAGTAAAAACTTGGATCTATTTAATATTCTCCTATATATATTTATAAAAGATTCAAAAGGTACTATTCTAAGTATTACTTATGTGCATGATAAAAAATCAAAAATTAAATAATAAAAAAATATATTACAACACCTAGTATTTTTATCATAAATCATATTTGATTTTTTTTATGTCATTTTTTAGCACTTTGATAAATTTAATGTGTTTTTTGAGAGAAAATATACAAAGAGAGAGCTATATATATATATATATATATATATTTATATATAGTACAATGTAATGTTGTAATTCAGCTCTTACTAGTTTACAGTAAATGGAAATCCAAATAAAATTCTCTTTGAGAACCTCCATAATAAATTAATTTATCTGTGTGACCTTTCATAACATAAACAACACATTAGTGATGGTTTTCATTAGTGTAGATGATCATTCCACTGAAATTTATCACCACTCTCCTATTTTTTCAAAAACAAACAGCAAAAATAAACCTCCACACAAGTTGTCTCCAACAGTTTGCAACATTCTAGTATATCAATATCACATCTTTCTCAAGAAATATCAAGCCAAAGGTACGACCCACAAACTCCTCATGCACCATCATGCATGAAATTCTGCTGTACAAAAATATGAGTTGGTGTGTGTGCAATTCTCATGTCAATGCACCCAACTGTATTTTGCTGTTCTTGCAAGAGACCACAAGCCAACTTCGGCTGTGTCTAGAATGGCCAAAATGCTGTAGGATGTGGAGGGGAGGTGCAAAGAAGCAGAATGAAAACATTGATTTTAAGGTGGAATATCATTGTCACCAATCTGAGGATGCAACCCAACTGGACCTGGCAGGGTGGACAATGAAACCCACATGCATGTTTAGACTGGATTTTCAACTTCACATGCGTGTTTCACGTCTCACAGTCTCACTGAACCTGATCATTTTGGTGGTCGTCTGATAGTTGCCACTTCAAGACCAAGTTTTACATTCTTGTGCCCAGAACTCAGACATTTGCAAGCAAAATGTGTGTGTTTAGATTCAGAATATAGCACATGCTCTGGATGTGGGTTAATGGCATAGAATGAGTTGAGAGAGAGAGAGAGAGAGAGAGCTGGAGAGATTGTAATGAATGTTGATGTATTTGTTATGCTTTTCTATTGCATATTTGATGTTGGCTTTGTGGCACTCAATTTTTTGTATATATCAACTTTTGTTTACACAACAAAGAACTTGTTTTCTCTAATTTACATTTTTTCTCAAATATTTTTGCTCTTGGAATTTGACAAATAAAATAAATGTGAAGTAAAATAAAACATCTCAATATTCATCAATAAAATTACAGTTATTGTAAACTATATTATATAATATATTGTCAAAAGCTTATTTTATGTCATGAAGATGTCATGGGTAGAGAAGACTAAAAATATTTTTTTAGCTGTAAACTTAATCATAGTCATGAAGGTGGATATAAGAAAAGAATTTTACTGAGCCATTGAGGAAGTTATAAACAATATTTTTTAGAAAAAAAAACACTAAAATTCTTTGAGTCATCCTTCAATCTTTGATTCTCCTGAGCTACCAGTGATTGAAAGCATTCAAAACATTAGCTCAATAAATAATTGTATTTTTAAACACAATTGTGAGAAAAATAATAAAGTCATTCATTTCATGATATTTACAAATTATAAAAATCAGTAAGTAAATAAAATCACTATGTGAATACAATGGGCGAATACGACATTCAATCAAATTTATCATCAATAAAGCTGAAACTGTCAGCCTATGTTTCTTTTTTTCTTCTTCCTCTTCTTTTTTACTTTCCATTTCTAATAAATATAACTACCCCATTTCTCCTTCTTCTGGTGCCCAGCTTTGAAAAAAAATCTCAAACTCCAGATCCAAATATATATATATATATATATATATATATGTGTGTGTGTGTGTGTGTTTGTGTGTGTGTGTATAAACGATTGTGGATTTTTAATTTCTTTATTAGAAAAAGGGCAAATTGTTCTTAGAGTTGCCCATGCTGCATCCATGGCCATTGCAAATCCAGGGGACAAACTAGTTAAGAGGATAGAGTCATGAATACTAATCAACAGAGTACTGCTAATAATGATTATTCCCTAAACCAGGTCTTAAGTCAAAAGGCTCTTGTACTATGTAGTCTTGTGGATTTTATTATCGCATTTTGTATGTACTTTGTATGTATTTTGTATACAATTTTACATTTTTATATCTTGTATTGTGACATTGGTTTCGATATATAAAACATATGCAATTTTTTCCCAAATAATATTGCATGTTTTCCTATTAAATTTATTTTTACTTTCTTAATTTGTACTGCAGCATAACTTATTTTTACACTTTTGTTATTCGTGAGGGAATCTTTATAGTTTATGTCTACAACTGCTTTTTGTTGAACCACAATACGAGTTGGACAATAATTCTGAATAAGAATCTTTATCGTTGATATTAAATTTAATAGACACAAACATTAAAACAAAAAGGTTGCAATATTTCTAAAATAAAACACTTTCTAGAGGTAATAGCTATAGCAGTAATTTCTTGTAAATAAACACAAATATACCGTATATACAGTAGTGTAAGTAAGTGTTTCTGATTAATTTGTTATAATCTAGCTTTCATTTCGAACAATAGATTAATAAGAAATGCAATGATTTACTCTGAGTACTAATCAAATATAAAAATAACAAAAACAAAAAAAACGAGCAAAAATAAATGTTCGCCGTTTAAACAAACACTAACACTTCAGTCTAGAAAACGAGAAATCTGACCAATAAAAGTACTCACTTACACACCTTGTGTTGTTCCTTCATAGTGTAGTCCTCGTGTATAACCCATCTCCTTCCTTACAAGAAATCACAATTGTTTTGAACAACCACAAAATTCTTATGAGTTACAACAGTGCACATACACAAAGTTCTCACTTTGTGGTGACTACTTTCTACCTCCGGAGATCATCGCTGCCTTCTTCCCACTAAGTTCACACTTAGCCTCCACAGGAGTCCATTAAGCTAATCACTCGCCGCAAAACACAAACACCGAATCACTTTAGTTCAGGTTCAAAGCTCTCTGCATCCCCGCTAATTGTGAACCCATTTCGGACTGTGATCTGGGGAGTTGTTCGGTGCCGAAGTAGATCACCGACACTGCCTGGAGTTGGGTCTACAACATGGCTACACTCTCTGGAGCTGTGAGGGATCCTTTTTGTTTTATACCCTGTGGCAAAGAAAGGTTGGTTATTTGTTTGTTTGTTTGTTTGTCTGTTTGCTTCCTCCGCGCTGCCATCGCTCCGGCTCTATGGTGTTCATGAATGTTCCATTTATAGACCCGTGCTGACATGCAACCCGACAGCTCTAGAGGTAGAGTGGCACCGGACTAGCTAAGAACAGTGAGGGGATGGATTTGGTGCAGCGACATCCTCGCACACCTGGAGGAACTGGCCGAGATTTGCACCGCACTGACCAGCCCTGTCAACGTGCTGGTGCTGGTAGTGGCACTCCGACGGGAGGGTAGACAAATGTTTGGGTCGTCTCTTTTTGGTTCAGAGATGGAGGTTCTCGATCCCCTCGCGGCTCGGCTTGACTTACCTTTGGAACCTACTTGTGTGCTTCAAAGCTCACGCGATTCCGCTTGTGAGGTGGCGCAGAAGCGGGTTCCGATTCCAAGATAGAGAAAGAGACAGTGAGTGAGTGAGTGAGTGAGTGAGTGAGTGAGAGTGCACGGAACGTGGTGTGGAGAGTGGATGTGCCTGGAGATGGTCAAAAACCTGAACCTGAAGGGGCTGGAAGAAGTGTGCCACGTCTGGGCGCATGTGGTGGAAAGTGAAGAAGCAGGAGGAGAAGAAGAAGCAGCAGCATTGCTTGGTGGCCAGGATGTCCAGGCAGCGGTGCCGATGAATACGACAAGACAAAGTGGGTGCTCCTCTCTCAATTCCTTCACCACGCTCTCACTCCCTTTGCTTATTTGATTGTTTGCTTGTGCAGTTGTTCTTAGTTTGTAACGTCTCCGCAGTCTTTAGGGAAATTGGTGATCCATTTCGCATGGAGTTTGCTTTTATCTTCAAACAACAAGGCAAACACGCAACAGGCTCAGAATGGCAAAATCTCATGGTTTTCTCACTGAGGTGTATAATTTCACTTCACTTCCAGAGCAGTGTAGAAGTAATAACACAATCCCATCTGTGTATTTATTGAGAGTTTGTGCTTATTGAAGAAAACTACGCGTGTGGGTGTTGAGAGTTGAATTCTTGAGATTTTCATTTGTTTTAATTATTCAATAAATTTTTACATAATTTTTTATTTGATTTATTACAAGATTATTATAAAAATTATGTGAATATAGAATCATAAAATGAATCATCTTATTTGAGTAGAACATATTAATCTATTGATGTAGAATCGTAATAGTACACGAAAAAAAAATTGCAAAATTAAAAATAGCATGTAAGAAATATTTATTGGATTGTGTTTTACATTGTATGTATGTCTATGTATGTATATATTATTTTACAAATATGTTTATTATATATATTGTAATACAAAAGGATTTTTGCTATCGTTGATTGCATGATGATAATTCATAAGTTATTTGCATTTTCTGCAAGTCTAACTACTTTAAGTGTTTCAAAAACAGTTTATGGTCTAATTTAGTATTGAAATAAAATTTTTATATAGATAGATAAATAGATAGATAGATAGATAGATATGCACATTCATACTTACATATGATTATCTTCACACATCATTAGTAAAATACATTTCACAAGAAAACCAAAACCTAATGAAAATATAAACAACATTCTTACAATGCACAAATGTCAATTTTTTCTTCAAGCAAAATTTTCACTGAAATTTCAGTATTGTTCACCTCAACCTCAAGTCAAATTTTTTTTCTTTTCCAGTTTCAATACCAAATTGAGTATTGACTTGCTTCAAATTTATGACTTGGTACAGCTACGATGAGTACACAACAATTCATGTTTTGGTGCTTTCATATCCATCTTTGAAGTATTTTGATTATCGTGCTAAAAATGTGTTTCTGATTACCCATTTATCTACACATTCTTTTTCGGATTCTACCTTTTTAAAGCAATTTAAAAACCAAATGTTTGTGGGATATTGCTCCCAGATATGAATTTTGATGAGTATAGTTCACAACTCCTTGAAAAAATTATCATATATTTTTTTTTATTTCATTTTATTGAAAAAATGATTTGCAAACCATTTTACTTTACTAGAAATTGAAATATGGGCATAATATGTAGATGCTTAATATTCACTTCTGGATCTAGATTCAAAAAGAAAGTTTCAAAAATGAGTTTGCATCGCAATGGTTGGATGTAGAACAAAACAAAATAATTAAATTAAAGCACCATAAATGTTTTTAGTTGGTTGTCAAAACACTATTGTAATTGCATATCAACCCCTTTACTTTTTCCCCTCTACTTTTCCAGTTTAACTTTTTCAGTTTAACTTTTTCACCATGTTCAGGGGAAACGATGGGATTGGTTGGCCTGCACTAGACCATCAGAGTAAGTTGCTCTCAAGTCTGAACCAGTCTGAGTTTCATTGCAATATGGATGGGAAAAACTGCGGGTTTGGGTTGGCAAAATTTACATCCATCCAATACAGCCAATGGGAGCCCTTCGACTAACTATTGCTCTTGAGCGTTTTGGAGGGGACCATAACCCTAATTTGTGCATGGAACTATTCAAAGAGTAACTTCCTCTGTAGAAGAAAAGTGCTATGGTGGAGACCACATGTGGAGAAAGGGAGAGAGAGGGACAAACTATGCACAGAATGGAATCATAGAATGATGAGAGGGTGGGGGAATAAGCCCCCCCAAGTAGTACCATAGCAATGAGAGCAGCCCATGTTGCCACTTTTGAAGGCACCATGTGGAGCTTAAATGGGGCACTCCATTACATAATGCCAAAACCCTCCCAGAAGGTGTAATCAATCATACTCTAGATGAAGAAGAAGAAAATAAATAAATACATACAAGGCCCCACCAATGTAGCCTATGACCGTACATCCATCCATCCCCACTCATCCAATATTAGACCATCAGGGCCTATTTTCATTCCCTGTTCACACTCCCAGTCTTTCTGAAAGGAGACCCCCCCACCGTGGATGGATGGACGGATGTGGAAAGGTGATTGTGCAATTTTCATCGTTTTTAAACTCTTTATGAGGTCCTCAACAGGCTTAACCCCACCAGGTCTATAGATGAATAACTTTACACATCCATGCATGCACGAATGAATTTTTGGATGAATAGGGTATTGTTCATCTGGATGAATGAAAATCACAGTGTAAGGTGGGCGGGCAGGCGGGCAGGCAGGGCATAAAACTCATTTTTGACTGGTTCCACTGGTTATAGGTGAAAGGGGAGAAATTATTAGAGTGAAGGGAGGGCAAGGGGCGGGGTACTTGGGGGAACAGAAATGCATGTGGTGATCATTGGCACCCTCAGAACTCTCTCTCTCTCTCTCTCTCTATAGTAGCCTAAATAACAATAATAATAATAATAATAATACAGTCAGCCCAACAAACACTCTCTCCAACTCAACTCTATTCTATCTCTTCCTATTCTTCCCTCTTTAGGAACAAAAGACTCATAACTAGGCTCTGGGGACCCCTACAGTTGGGGGGGGGAGTGGATCATGCTTAAGGATGTAAGTAAGAGTCAATTTGTCTCTGATGGTGGCCCCTTTAAGTTGCATTATTTGCCTCATAACACTGAAATAAAAAGAGCATGCCTCCGACTCATTCATTATTGTGTGCCCCCCCTTGGCTGCTTAATTGAGACTGAATCATGACTGCATATGATTCTATGCAATTTGTGGAAATATAAAATAACCCATTTGACCATTTTGGATATATAAGTGTATAATAATAGAAGAAACTACTGTTTTTTACAAGTTGCCAAACTCAACATCAGCTTGCAACTCTACAACTTTTTTTTTCAAAAAAATAAAAATAAAATCCATTTTACAAAAAATAAATAAAAATAAAATAGAGAGGGTATATGGGTGTGTGTATATATATATATATATATATTTATAGTGTTTTTTACTTGGATGAATAGCAAAAAATACTTCTTCTTTTACAAATATGACCTACGTTGATAATCTTGCTTAAGCATCTTCCTTCTCTTTTTTGTTTTCTTTTGTTTTTCTAACCCAGGGCCAGCTTCTCACATAATTATAGTGGACAGATACCTGGTATCTAACATTCTTTATCCAATTCTGAATACAAATATATTTATATATATATATATATATATATTCACACACATACACACATACACATTCTGTAATGAAGTGTTTAAGTTGAAAGTTCTTGAGATTAAGAAATCATCATCTTTTTACTAAACAATGAATCCAATAAACCCAACTATTGGGTTTTCCACATTCATGTCAAAAGTGTGATTTTACCCTGATTTAAGGCACATTTGGATTCTTTTCCATGATGGGAACCAGTGATTAATAGTATTTGGACCCTAAGGGAAGTTTTATGGGGCACCAAATGAGAGCAAAGCAAGTTCCCTACAGGGTGAGGTGAGCATCACCTCAATCCAAAGCCTCCACAACAGTTATGGGTGGAATATTCACATCCCCACAGTTTGTTTGTTTCATTCCTTTTTTATTTCTAATTCCTTATTGGATTTTTTTATTGGGTTTTTTTTTATTGGGTTTTTTTTTTTTTTTTTTTTTTTTTCTTGAAGTGCCCAAGAAGAAAACATGGACCCAACAAAGCAATAATTCCATCATCAAAGGCACAAAGCCTTATTATTGTTCTTGTCTACTGCTTGATTTCAAATAATTCATACACAAAGTGCTCTCTCGGCACAAGATTCTTAGGCTAAAAGAAAGTTATAAATTTTGAGGTGCTAATCAGGGAGAGAACCCAAAGGGTCTCTCAACTTTTCACTGTATCATTTAGCTATTATTTAAAGGGCACAAGCACCAGTGATGAATGTGGGAGACTGTGCCCACTCATAAGGAATACAGGGTATTACATGCCCAGCAGTGCCACACACACACACACACATATATATATATATATATATATACAAACTGCCTGCACCAGCAGCATTCACAAGCATGGTGATGCTTGAGGATATTTCACCATTTGGGCCATTTAGTCATGTTTCTCTTGCATTACTTGGTGAAGCCAAAGTCAGTCCCCCCCCACCCAAATCAAGACTATGGATGGATGAAGCATGAGGCTGCATGGATGGATGCAAATCACTAATATGGCAAGGCTCTTTCTACCTTGTGGTTTTAGGGGAATAATAAGCAGGTTGAGCTCCATTTCAAAAAGGGTCAAGGCCTCATTTTACTTGAAGTTGGGGCACTGAAGATCATCTTACTTAATGATTGCTGGAATCAGACCTTCCATGCATTAGCAATTTTCATTCACTTATTTTATAAATATTAAATAAAATAAAACGGAAGATGGACAGCAATAGTGGAATGCCCATGATTTGCCCTGGAAACAGGTCAAATGTCAAACTTCTTTCTCCCCTTGCCTTTGAAACTGAACAACTAAAATCCCAAATAATTGGTAGATCCACAAGGGTATTTTGATACTCTGCCCACTTCAGTCTACATTTTTTAAAATTATAATAATTAGCAAAAATAAAAATAAAAATACATGTACACAGCATTTCAATCTCGAGCCCTGTTGACATGAGCACGCCTAAGGCGAAGGAAATTGTGAAGCGACGGCATTATTAATGGGGATTCGGGGATACCGGAAGAACCGGTAAAGGCGGTGACCCGCAGGGCCCCTTGATGACGGGAAAGGATTAAAGAGAAGGCGAAGTTATGTTGTTTACCCCGTTCCGAGGCATCCGGAGCCCGTCGTCCTCCGGCATTCGCCCCGCCCCGCCCCGCCCCGCCTACTCCTTCGTCGAGCCCATTGTTTGTTTGTTTATGCCCCGGGCGTTGGCGCTTCGGCGTCTCTCTCTCCCTCCCAATTGAAGATCCACACTCGTCTCTGCAAATCTCCTTTTGCTCGCTTCGTTTGCGGTGCTATTCTCTCGTCGTCCTGTGTCGCAGACTCATTTCCTCTGTTCCCGCAGACTGTGTGTCTGTCGTCTGAGATTTGTCCACCCTTGATGAAGAGCTCCCTCACTAAGGTTGGGGTTGAAGTGAATGATCCAGCTGAGTCACGGCTTCTTGGATCTGCGTTGTAGTTGCTGTGGATCCAAAAGAAGAATGCAGATATTTTCAAAGGATTTCGGTGTAGCTCATGAAAGGCAGAAGTAGCGCTGCTTCTGTAGGGTGCGTACCTAGGGCGAGGTGGTTATGAGTGTGGAGCGTCGAGAGTTGAGGTTCGAGTGTGGGGTAAGGGAAGCTGCGGGGGGGGGGGGGGGGGGTCGCGGGCGGGCCTAGGAATTAAGAAGAAACAAGCCTATGGTTGGCGTGGATTCTGGTTGTCTGAACAGAAAACGGTCGTCGGATTGCGGAGAAGACAGTGAGAAGAGTTGAGGGCCGACGTGGTATTCTGAAAGTCGTGCTTCAGTTCTGTTACCACTATGACCTTAGAGTGTTCGGATGTCAGGGCTGACGACAGTTATCCTTGATTGATCTGCATGTTCCGTGTGCATAGATTGGCGAGCACACCTTCAAAACCTTGTGGTCTTATTCGACTGAGGCGATAGTGCCGACGTATTTTATTGATTATCTCCTTATCTTGGCGTTAGAGATATTGCCAATTCTAGTCTTCACCGCGCCGTCATCTCTTGTAAGCTGATCATCCTCGTACACGTCAGAATGGTAGCTGTAGCTGTAGCTGTGCTTTGAAGCGAGGCTGAGTGTAACTAAACAAGTAGTGTAACTAGCTGTGTTTGGAGCAGGCTGCCAGTCCTGTTTAGAGAGTATTTCAAAATGGCGTTTTGTCCACAGCTAGAAGTTGTAAGAGTTCTAGATTCTAGATGTTGATTGTCACTGAAGGATTGTGCCTTTGCAGACCCTCGACTGCGTCTCGGCCTGCCTAAGAGCGTCATAAATAGCGGGTTTCATCGAAGATTGAAATTAGTCTCACGTAATGTGGAGTTTCTGTTCCCTATTCGTAGCTTGGTGAGACCGAGCCATTCATCCGTCTAGTGATAAATTACTTGCACAGGGTGGAGGAAGTTGAAGCAAATTCCGAAGAAGCTGTCTTACTTTTCGACAGTCACACATAGTTAAAGCTTCACACATCGATATCGGAGGTCTTATTCCTTCAGGCGTTGCGTGGCGCAAGATCATGAGTCCACATCTATCAGCATTGTTTTCAAATTGCTATTCTAACCAGAACATATAAATGCTTACGACAGTCCTGTCTACTCCCAAAGGAAGGATGAGAATCATCTGATTCAAGCAAGATTCTTTCAAGGAGATCGCAAAATCAACAGCCTTGGCCTCCGACTTCACTTATAACTGTGGGACTATTACCTCAACTGATGCAGAGTCTCTATGAAGGACTTTCTGGAGGAAGCGAAGTAGAGAGGTTGTCATGTATCGTACGCGCTAAAGGTGGAGGGGAGCCACGCTATGGAGTCTTTGGTTTCCTATAAGATAGACTATACGCCGATGCCAATCACCGCTACCTTCGCTGGCCTTCATGAGTTCAGTAAGCTGAAGTTGTTTAGCAACACTGGTAACAGAGTCACCAATATGGACGAACCCAGGCCGATGGAAGCGGCGGGTGCAAAAGCAAAGTCCAAGGCCATTAGATACAGAGAATGTAACAGAAACCATGCAATTTCCACCGGCGGATACGCGGTCGATGGCTGCGGTGAATTCATGCCTGGTGGTGAGGAAGGAACGGTGGCAGCCCTTAAGTGCGCCGCATGTGACTGTCATAGGAATTTTCATAGAAAGGAAGTAGAGGGAGAGGCTACTTGCGATTGCCAAAACATCAAACGAAATGATCCGAGGAAGCGAGGGCTGATGGCTCCAGGAGGTCCTTCACAGCCCGGTAGTTCCCAGCAATTGGCGCTTCCAACCCCAGCGCAAATCATCAGCCGAGTCACAGCCGCGCCTTTCTTGTTGGGTCCTGGACCAACCGACTCGGACGATGGCGATGGTGGCCTTAGCGGATCGCCGTCCACCATAAAGAAGAGATTCAGAACAAGGTTCAATAATGAGCAGAAAGAGAAAATGGGAGTATTTGCTGAAAAGTTAGGCTGGAAGATCCAGAAGCACGACGAGGCTGCCGTACAAGAGTTTTGTGCTGAAGTTGGTGTTAAGAGGCATGTTCTGAAGGTATGGATGCATAACAACAAGCACACCATCGGGAAGAAGCCTCCATGATTACTGCCAGTATTTGTACCAACCTGGCTTCTTGTTTACTTCTGATCGTCACCTTCCACTGTTCAAAGCAATGCCTTACAGATCGAATAATCGGGCCAATAGTAACGCAAGAGATGGTCGCTTGACTCTTGTAAGAAAGTTTACCAAAATAATGTTCATTTCCTGTAATTTTCACTCCCGTTGATCAGAATTGCAGAATGGGTGTACTCTAGTTTCCAACAAGATTTCGAAACTGGCGAATTTGTAAGAAATAGAATGAGTTGGTCAAATTGTCCAGCTTTCAGGGGTTACGACGCTTTCTGTACAGTAGGGTGGCGATGTTCATTGCAAACGTTCTAAGCGAGAGAGGAATGGAAGTCAGATAAGATTGTAGACTGATCGAGAGTTTGAAATCCCTAGCTCCTCAATTCATTTCAAATATCATAACCGCTGGCTTGATTTTCACTATTTAGACTGATCAGCGCCCCGCGATCATGGTTCTTAGCTTCGAAGTCGGGTGTAAATTTATTTCAGTTTCCTTCCACATTGCGGAGTCGCAGAGCTAAAATCGATCTATGAGATCTTAGAATAAGGTCCAGTAACTGGCCCCCTTTGCTCCTGGGTGCAACGTGCACTTCATTAATTAGTCATTCAATCGAGGACTTGGTTGAACATACAGATGTGTTAATTTGTCTTCTCCATGACGTCAAGATTTATGACTCTGTTTCGTGGACAGTGTTGATTGTTGGTAGGATCACTACAACCTGTTGTGCATTTGAAAGATTAAAAATCAATCTCTAGACGAACATAAATTGACATTCCTGCTCAGCATTCATTCGCTCAACTGCGGACGAACTGGAATTTTCTAGACATTCTCTCGATGTCACTGATTGAATTGAACCGTTGAGATTCAGGTTCTTCGTCACGAAAACTACCAATAGCAGTCGCTTTGTCAGCTGTCGTTGCGTCACAAGGTCAGTGAGTTCTGCGCCATAGTGTCCACATTATCTGGAGTTCCATGAAAGCGGCTTGCTCCATTTGCATCACAAAATGTCTGCGTATTGGTGATATGTTTCGGCGATTCTGCAAGGACTCATGGATCGGACTGATCAAAACCACCATGACATTCTTCACGCAGATCACCTGAATCTGATCTCATTTCTATTCATATCTGGACATACGTGTACTCTTAGTCCCGCCGATACCGATATCTTTTGGCAAAACATGGACTTCGATGCTATAAGTATGTAATCCACTGTTCCTGCGATCTTGGGCAGAGAACTTTCCATTGACAACAGTAACTGAAGCACATTTTCATTGCAATCAGTCCAACGACCTCCATTTTTTATGTAAGTGTTTATTTATTTATGAATATGAATATGTTTAGACCTAGATTCTGCCATAGTTGTATAAGGTATGCTAATGTAAATGAAAGTTTCCTTGTTTAAAAGCAACCAGTATTGTTGGGCTGTCACATTCCAAAACGAAGATGCGGGTCTGTGTTACTGTGTTCTGTAGAGTGCGACCCATCCGTAAGGGCTGCGGCATGAAGTGCACCTCGAGTTTTCCATCACGGTTTTACGACTTGGAACAGAGTAACACGAGGAAGATCTGTGAGGATCTTCAATCCACGATTCAGAACTAGATGGTATCTATGCGAATGTTCGCAGGTAGATTTAGAGAATGCTCCTCAAGGCACTGTCGCTCTGAGTTGGGAATCTGAGTTTCACTTTCTAGTGACAACCCTCGACTTCTTGGTGGGAAATTGTTATAAACCCAGGATCTGCAGGGGCAGCTTGAAGAATTGGGTATAGCACCATGCACGCTCATAAGTTTCATTTGGTGCTCGAGAAAGACTAAAAAATGGGTCAGGGTGCTCAGACCGGCAGGTTTCATCAATCAGTTACTCCTCACAACCACATGTGTCCGTTCCTTCTGTCAGTAGAACCCCTGTGCGACGCACTAGATGCAGCGAACTTTTCTCACAGCCCAGCTACTCAACAAGTGAATACATACTGCATAATATATGTGTTCGGTGACGCAGTCGTTTCGTAGACATGGACAACGAACAATGCCGTACTCTTGAGCTTATGCAACCTTGTCATTCCATCATCTCAACTGCCGTATTCAGTAGCATTTCATAATAATACTGAATCATTAATCAATTGGTTGACCTCGTATGAGTGCGCACGATCCATGTTTCTCACCGACTGCAAGTGCCAGGGAGAGCAAAACAAGCCGCTACGGGTGCAATTGTGGCAATGGTGCACGCATTTTGATACTCACTGATGATGTTGCCTACTTTATGACACCATTAAAGCCAAAAAGTACTTATGTAGACTTTGATCCTCGGCATCAGCCTCCAATGTGAATTGCATGCCTTTCTTGAAGACGTTCACAGCATTTTGTGCAGTCGATTTTCGGCCGATTCTGTTGAGTTACAATCTGTGGTTGATGGAGTCAGAACTACCGTTTGATGCAATCTATAGACTCCAAGCACAAGGATCCTTAACGATCTGACTCAATGAGTGATGTTTATAAGAGAGTGTGACTTGCAAGACGTCGTGCAAGCGCATCTAAGGTACGTGAGATAGCATCTTTTACAATGCAGGATACATCATACAACCTCGAAATTAAAAGTATGTTAAAGCTAATTAGCCTGCTCCGCAGCTGCAACTGGTTGAAGGTGTATTTCGCCGTCAATCACTCAGCTTGCTGTTGGCAGATTGCAGCCTTTCAACGCTTGCAGATGCGTCCAGCCTTACTGCAACGGTGTGTCAGGACCAGTTCAGCAATATTACAGCTCAGTCTAACGCTGTCAGAAGCTGATCTACGTGACCTTCATGGCCATTTGTAAGGTAGCTGCTGCTGATGTCGGTACTGTTTACAATAAAGATGAAGTATGTACTTGGAATTAATCAATCACAAGGAATTTCAGTAACCACTGTTTGGAGGATCAACAGTTGAGTTTGGTTTATTGTACCCCAACCTTGACAACATCCTACACCTCCACCACCTTCCCGTGATGCATACTTCAGTACATCAAAGCTCTCTTATTCTGGTGGATCTTCTTTCCCTGTTTGAATCCTAAGTCCCGATTAGACAGAATAAGTCAAGCTGCAGCGTCTTATGATCTGTTTCCTTCGAAACATAACCATGCAATGCAATTAACACACGTTTGGAAGATCCTGGGAGAACAACCGTTTTATTTAGATCTATAATCAAAGCAGAATCAGGAATATAACCTAATTTTATATTTTTGACACATTTATACTCTAAAGTTGAAGTCATGCGTTGATAATCGCTACAGGGACTCGGTGATCTTTTTTCATGCAACTGTAGCATTGACTTTCAACACAGGATTAGCGCAGCGGGTAGTTAGTTGCTAACCAGGATGCATCTGCAATTAATATCGATTTTCCAGCAACTGATTATGCAAGCGCGACGTAGAGATCTACGGTCCGTAAAGGGGCCATAATTATAGGAATCCTTAATTCTCTATCCGGAGCAGGAGAATCTTTCAGCATGCAGCAACAGGTCAATCATGTTCAGGCCCACCAGTACACAAAAAAAAGAATGTAAAGTAACAAATAAATAAATAAATAAATAAATAATTACAGGCCATAATTCGGCACCCTTCCCCTCTCTGCGTTGTTTTTTGTTCTTTGACCTGTTCAGCCACGTAATATTATTGAACTCTTCCCCACCGTTGCTCCCGCTTCCGATTAATAAAGGCGCCAAGCAGCAGCCAACATACGGCATCGTATTGAAATTTCTGTTGTGGCAGAGTGGACAACACCAGGTCACAGGCAAAGTCCATTTGCACGACATGATAGCCACAACGAGAAGCAGGCCCTCTGGCTGGGTTCCTCTCCCTGGTCGCGCCTCGACTTCTCCAAAGCCTTCTGCAACTGAAAGCCGGCCACAGACATGGTTTGTACTCTCGCTACTGGTGCTACTGCTGTTGCTGCTGTTGCTGTTGCAGCAGCGAAAGCATCATCACTGGCGAGCGTTTGCCAGATACCCTTTGCATCAGACCCTCTGGCAAAGCACACCGACCATGAAGGGCTAGAGTTAAGAGCGGGTGGCAATGGTGTCAGATGGGTGCGCTCCCTCCATCAACAACGATGACCTTGAGTAGTGTACAGATTCGACTCAACAGCCTCGTTGATGAGGAGCGTCGCATTCATGCCCCTCCGTCCAGACTTGTTGAGTGTGCATCTGGGTGAGTGAGCTGCCGTTTCGATTCTTCTTCTTCCTCTGTTCTCTTCAAGTGCTTCATTTGGGGGCTTTGAGCGGATGAGTTGGGTTTGGCAAAGAAGTGACATCCCCACATCTTCTAAAAATATTTTTTATGTTTTTTTGTAATTTTTTTCTAAAAATATTAAAAACTTTTCTATTTTGCGATGGAGTCCTAAGGCCATTTGTTTTCCTAGAAAGAAGAAGGGAATGTACTTTCTTCTTATCTTCTAAGAAAATTGGTTTCTTTAGTGAATATGTAAGATATCAAACATAATTGTAAAATTAATCCTCCCATTCATTCTCTGCCTTTGCTCCCCCTACTGTAAATACATCGGATGATTTTTGTAAAAAGCTTTATAACTTTTCACAAATTGATAATTAAAAAGTGTATGCCCAATGTATATTGTTTTATTTAGTATATTGCACTTTAGTACTACAAGATTAGAAACCAGACAACAATCCAGATTGTTTTACAATTGTATTAGATAGATTGAGACAAATCTCAATGTTGTTTATTCAATATATAATATATTACTTAAATTATTTAGAATCTTTTCAATGTTTGGTTTAATGATTTTAGATAATCAAGGGTTATTTAAATAAAGGCCTCTAAGAGCCAAAAGGAGCTGTAAAAATATAATAAATGTTCCAAATTTTATTCAAATTTTTTTTTGAATATTTAAAACGTGTATGAGCTACTGTTGATTTCTGTAATTTAGTTGTCTCTTTCTAGAAAAATGTTCCCTAACATAAATAAATAAATAATTAAAGAAAAGAGTAACTGAATACATTGATAATGCAAAATATTACAGAGTCATTAAAAACTCATGGTAATACAAGTAACCTTATGGACTTTGTCTAAACCATAGACATGTTTATTTAATCATTTATTAATTTTGTATATAAGTTTTATAGAATAAATAAGATTCAAATATGTTGAAAGTAATGAAAATAAGAAAATAAGATCTGCAATATTATAAATTTGTAAATCATAAAATTAAATGATTTTTTTATGGTAAATAATATGTTTTTCAAGAAATATAGTATAAATTTCTTAGATCCAAAATTTAGTCTTAAAGTATTTTTAAACAAACCATAGAGTTATAAAAATTTCTTTTGAAAGTTTTCTAGGCTTAAGAAGATATCATAAATGCATCTTAATAATTAAATATTCATCATTCTAATCTTGTAATTTTATTTATTAGTTTTTATACAAAAAAAATTAAAAGTTTTTTGTGATTAGAAATAAACTATTTGAATGTCTTCTTATTTTAAACACATACTAATATTTTTTTCTTTTTAATTATAATTAATTACAATATCTTTTAATGAGTTTGTTTAGATCTTGTTAAGCTTATGTAATAATGAAGCACGACCATCTCACTTGCTATTTACTTTCACTCCTCCTATTAAAGTTCTAAAAAGATAGAAAGAGAGATAGAAGAAGAATTTTTAATAGCCATTCCTTAGCGAGGGGAGCAAAAGTAGAATCCTTGCATCACAATTTATACCCTATATTATAAGCCTTTAGAATCTTCTAGAAATAATCTTTTGCAAGGTTTAGTAGCTTCAATGCTTAGCTTACTAGATCCACAATTTTTTTAGTGTTTGATAAAAGCTTATTAAATAAAATAATAAAATAAAATCTAAAAAGATATATTATGTGTATATTTTATTATGTAAGTGTGAACTTTTATTTTTACTTAATAAAGACATATTCTCGAAATTTTAATAGGCTTAACAAATTAAATGTGCTAAGATATTATGTATATTAGAACCATATTGTTTTTTTATTAAGCTTTTTAGAATTATACTCTAAATTTTTTAATATAAAGAAACATGGTTAAAAATGCCTACTATTATTTGAAAATATGTAAGATTTTATGTTTTTAAAAACATATATAGTTGAAAAATAAAAAACTTAGCTAATAGGAAAAAAAAAATGTATTTTACAATTTTATTGATAAATAGTCAGTTTAATAAAAAGTTCCTCAAAGTCTAAACTATTATAATTATTATCAAAAATATGGTGTATCATCTCTTTATTGACAATGTTTAATTGATGGTAATGTAAAATTTCTTATAATCAATATATATATATATATATATATATATATATATATATATAACTCTTTATAAAACTAAGAAATATTTATATAAATCATCATCAAAAGTTTGAAGTTTAAGATAAAAGATCAAGTATAGATTTTTTTTAACAAAAACATGTATTAATAGACACAAAATATAGACTTTCAAAAGTTTGGTTAATTTGATATTTACTAAGTGAGTCCAATTGTCTCCACTTTTATTTATTATGAAAATTAATCCAATTTTTAAAATTTGATAATAGAATATTATTAAAAGTGATTTAATATATGTTTTTAAATATGTAACCATTTTAAATCACGCAAATGAGAAACTGCATATATTTAAAGTCAATAAAACGTTTTTGTCTTAGTTCAAATACATGTAGTTAAAAATAATTTATGCATCAATCTCTTAAACTATAATTGATGCATTCTTTTTCTAATTATAATTTAAAATTATAGTTCATATATTAATTATTTTCTACTATGAGATATGATATTAATTACAAAAAAATAGAACCACCATTCAACCTAACTTATGCACCAAACCAGACTTGTGAAATTTATCATTAATATCCTTATAATATTAAAATCAAATTATTTGATTTAAAATAATTTATTATATTATTTAAATGATGGCAATAAAATATCTTCAAAAAGGAATATTACCACTAAAAAATTTCATCATGAAATTATGAAAAAAGAATAATTTCTTTAATATTAATAACAAATTTTGATTTTTCAGTTTCTTGTTTTTTTTACTAAGTTGTGTTTCTGAGTCCTTTCTTTGAAGTTTTGATAAATCAACCTAGAAAATTTTTACAAATTCTCAATATCCTAAGTTCAAATTTTCTTTATTGCACTTGTTGAATCAATCTTAATGTTTGATTGATTTTGATTTGCCTTGAGGCATCTATGTGATGAAGGTTATAATGATTAACTATTTGGAACTCTAATAAAATAAAATAAATTTAATTTAATAATCATGATTAATAGAAAAATTAGAATTTTATCTAGAATAAATCAAAGTCTTTTATAAAATTTATTATAAAAAATTTTAAAAATAAAGATATGTATAAGAATTTACTTTATATCCCAACATCAAAAAATATTTGTCAAATTGTACAAATTCTGTATAAATAGATTTGTTTCCTTTTTATCCTAATAAAAAAATAATATTTTTGGATAAATGGTTTGCAATTCCCAAAAGAATGTGTTGTTAGTCCCAATACTATTCAACCTTGCATAAAGGCTTCTATATAACTCTACAATTCTCAACAAAGCCATTGCTTTTTCTTAGCAAGACAAAATGTATTGTAAGGTACCACAAATTTATAACATAGCCTCAAAAGGATCATTCCAAAAAAGTTTGGTGGAAACTTCAAGTGAATTGAGATTGGTTGGCAACATCTTTTGTAACAATCATTGGGATTTACTTAATGGTATTTGAGAGAGAATTCTAAATTACCAAATATGTATTAGAAGAGTTTGAGGAGGGTTTCAAATGTGATTGTTAAAATAAGAATTTGAGAATAGTTTCTTGATGACTTTAACAAACACAAGAGTTGGGAATATTGGTACCCAACCTCAATAATTATTCTCATAAGTTAACATCCCTAGTTGTAATTAAGAGCATGGTTTGAGCTATAAAGAAATAGGTACCCAACTAGTATCTAGTATTGGATGAACGAAAAATCTAGATAGCTGTCTATACCATAACTTTTTAATAAAAATTTGCTTCCTAATTGTCTCCACATATAAATATAAATGCAAATATATATATATATATATATATATATAAATAATATGCTAAATCTTGAATTCTTAGTACCAATACTTTGGAGCAACCCAACATTAGTTGCAAATCATTAATCTGCCAACAAAATACAAAATAACTACCTAACATCTATCCCTATCAACAAACAAATGAAGTAAAAAGGTCAAAGGGCAAGTTGGGTGTATAGTTTGTGAAATTGCATTGTTTGGGTACCGACTGTCTAGGCATTCCCAAAAATTATCAGCCTCAGTCACATTTCTAACCCTTCCTCAACCCTTACAATGCATATTTGGTGAATTGGAGTCGTAATAAATTGAGTACTTACTTTGTGCCATGGACTAGTACCAGCAGAGAGTATTCCCCTCAAACATTGCCAATTGATTCAAATTGTAATATCTATGTAGACGTGCAGTCATATATCAGCAACTATTACTGACGTATGCAATTAATCTTAATTCCTGACGGGTGTTACGTTACGCTTAGATAGTATCAACTGGGCAAGAAAAGATCAAATAAATCATGCTTCTCAGCGTCACGGACAGACCGTTAGATAAACAATACTAGCAAGTGTTTTCCTGTAAAAATACAAGAACTTACCTCGAAGTAAAATAGGAGTGGGAACTGAATCCCATAAATCGGAAATCAGAAATCACATAACTAGTATGACAAAAGCAAGTCTATTGCAAACTACTACACTCAAGCAGCTTGAATTGACCTTTTTCAATGAAGGAAAGTAAGACCCACACACCACACGGAGTACAAAAGTTCAGAAAATAAGCCCTTCATTCGCCCTTTTTTTTTGAGCAATCGCTGACAAAGATGAAGTTTTCTGTCAACCCTCCGTTGCGCCTGCTAAGTTCATGGCTCCTACAAATTCACTCTTTGCTATGATAATGCACGGTGACCTTCTTCGGTCGACAGAAGAAAGAGACATATCCCTGACCCATTAGCAAATCCAGGGCCGAGAAAAATAGTCTACATGCGTACTACTCCACCGGATCGATACAATGAACTACTTCCTGCCACAGCCCATTAACTCCAGAGGAGAAACAAGACACGTGGGTGTATAACCTAGCACAAGGATTCATCGACAAACCTTCGCCACCCTAATGTTTGTCTGGCACCAGATTTGAAAGATCCACTTGTGTTGCGTGCACCAGATAAGATAATTGCCTGCGCGTGCTGTACGCATACACTTTACACATTGGTATGGTCCCCAAAGAAATACATGGACATCTGACGAACAGTTCGACAGTTTACCAGCTTTGCACAAGTGAGACGTAAGATTATGAATCAGAGGTCCCTCATGCATTGTGGTTATGCTTCTTTTCCGCAAAACCATAAATCCAGAGAATAATGGAAGGATAGAGCATACTTGAATATGGAAGATCCTTGACTCAAGTACTGCGACGGTTACTTGCTTCCATGGAACGAACAGGATAGAAGTAGGGATGAGCCTGAAATACGACATAAATCAGAAATCACACAACTAAGCTCGACATGTATGACTCAACGAATTTGGATCAATTTGAGAAAATCCGTACATCGTGAAAGAACTGCTTTGTAACCAGCTTGCAACATAAGGGAATAGAAACATACCATAGCTTCCCTGGCAGTAAGCCTTTCTTGATGGTCATACCGCAGAAGCTTGTCCAAGAAATCTACTGCCTGCATAGGCACATGGCACAATCACCAAAAATAAAAATAAAACAAGGAACTAACTAAAGTGCGTAATTGAAGTATTTGCACGACTAACAATCGACAGAATAAGTATGTGGTTGAATGCTAAAGATCACCCATATGGCTTAGCAACTCATACCAAAACACAGCTCTTGAGCTACACAAATACAAATAGAATAGTGAAAAAATGTCAGTAGCAGTTCTAGAAAATTGAGATACGTACCTCAGGAGCAACCAAATGTTGGTTGTCAGAATTTAAGAACTTTGACCAGGGCTTCCTACTATGTCTGCAACGCACACAACAGAATCACGAAGGTTACACAAAACTCGGTGCGATTGTAACTAACACAACATTCCACCAACAGATGCTCAAGTAAAGCTTTCCACACAACACTACCATATTATATGAAGGCCAATCATTGTCATCAAAATCCTATGATCAAACACCCATCAGGATAAATACTAACCTTCCAACCAACGCCTCGAGATGGGGATCCAATTCCAACCGGTACTTGTTAAGGTAAGCATACAACTCGTCTGTGCCTAAAACCTGGCAGCGAGACCCAACCACCTCCGTTTATGTAAATAAAGCCGGTAGAACACCAACTTTCCCAGAATAACTCAACAGAGAAATTACAACATTCATTCATTTATGAAAATGACTTTCTCATGCCACTAAAAAACAACACACGCACACATAAACAAAAAGGAAAAGAAAAAAGAAGTAAATTCCAGAAGCAAAATATGTGACGTACAAAACCTAATATTTTAATCCATGTAGATTAGAAAACGCTTATGAAGGTAATCAACCCAGAGGACAATGAGCTTGCCTTTGCAATCTTCACAAGTTGATCATAATTGTCGTGGCCATAGAAAAACGGCTCCTTGCGGAAAATCTAACACCCAATGATCGACTATCAGGTCTATAGGAAGCTGGTTGATTGTAAACAGAATGGCAACAATGCATACGAAAAATCGTCAACAGAAACCGTCTTCCTCACCATGCCAGCAAACATGCATCCCAAGCTCCACATATCCAAGGCATAATCATAGTCTTGGAGATCGACAAGTAACTCTGGGCCCTTAAAGTACCTGATTCACGAAATGTCATAAAAACATGTAAGCAAAAAATGAAGTCCCTTAAGAATATACACATGCTGAAAGCAAATTTACTCCAGAACTTGGTAAAACCATAAACCAAGTGATTGTCTCATCCTAAAACATCCACAGAGAATATCAGAAGACCAGGAGTACGCATACATACTACTGCAAGTCTAATTAAGACAAAAATGAAGGCGATCCTCAAACAGATTGGTACGAGAAATAAAGCCACAACCTAGCGTACTGTAGGGGCTAAGAGACTCAACCCTAAACCCTAAACTCTCGGATCTCATGCAGCAGAATCATACTACTAATATGCTTCCCAACCACTCATAACCATTGAGATATACAGAGCTTGGCATAACAGACACCTCTTCATTACTCTAAGTGAAAGCGACCCAGCTACATTGCTCTAACAATGAAACATCGGCTCAATGAGAACGGAGGAACGGCCTACGTATCTCAGCGAACGATTCAAGTCAAGTGTTAAAAAGTGAATTTAAAAAAACTAGAAGAGCGTACAGAGAAAAGTTTTGTGATGATGCATTCAGGAATGATGCGTGCTGACCTAGACGCAACGCGCACGTTATACTCTTTTCCGGGATGATAGAATTCAGCAAGCCCCCAATCTATTAATCTTAATTTTCGCTGTTCATGATCAATCATCACATTATGTGGTTTGACGTCTCGGTGCATTATCCCTTGCGAATGACAGTAGTCCAAGGCCTGAAACAGAGCAAGCCAGTACTCAATCGATGAATAACCCAATGAAAATACCTCATACTATGATTGTTACAATTAGTTTTATTGTTGTTGTTATCATAATCTCTTGTATATGATCTAAAATACCGGGTATCTTTAGACGAGATAACAAATCCAACAAAGCTCACTGAAAATCTTGAACAGAGCAACGGTGGAAGATTTGCGACGTGATACTCTGGTGATCAGACACTACCTTCAAGAGCTCGTGAATATAGTACCGTATGTCATAGTCCGTCAGCGTCGGATACAGCACTTTGAAGTCTAAGTTGTTTACATACTCAAAAACAAGACTGGGAGTCTTAGACTGCTGGTCTCTGACAATGTCAAACAGCTTCACGATATTGGGACCTCCACACAAATTCTGAAGTATCTTGATTTCTCTTTTAATCTAACAAGGTGTGAACAGTAGACAGCCAGAATAAGTGAAGAAGAGATTAGTATCAGTTCGAAAGAATGCAAAGCGGAAAAATCACTGCCAAATCGTCATAACCTCCGGACTTGTCGAGGATTAAATTTACACTAGCTGTAACTTCAGTCTACACAAAAAAAACGGATTTCTCGTAAATTTTCGGTACGGCGGTGACCTGTACCTTTTTCTTCTTCACTGGCTTCAAAATTTTGATAACGCAACGCTCATTGTTAACAGTGTTGATACCTTCGAATACCTCGCTGTATTTACCACGCCCCATCTTCCGAACTACTTCATAGTCATCTTGATCGCTGCAGCATGGAATAACACGATTCTTAGGGCACAGCAAGCGTGCCAGTACAATTTCAACCAGAGATTCACACACATATAATTCTGTTCGGATGAAAAATCACGTGTCCATACCCCCATTGAATTGTAAGAGCTTCGTAATCCCAATAGTCTTTTGGACGCTGAACATTCACATCCGTATACACCCGGGCCTTGGACATCGCTCCAGGCCGTCGAACCGACTTTCCAATCTTCTGCGCCAGATTGGCGAAAGGGGGTATATGTTCGAGGACCTGTTCTCGCTCCGGCGAATTCCGCAGAAACCTTCTAAGTACCTCAGGAAATTTCTCGAAGAACAACTCTTTACGCAAGTGTTTCTTGTGTTCACACACTGAAACTCCTCTTCCTGCTAAGAACCTACACTGGACACCCTTGGGCCCGGCATTGATGATCAGTCTCGAAGACTGAGCCCATACGTCCAGAAACCCTACCTGCCGATTCCAATTAGGCAGCCTTCCTAGCATACATAAATTCTAGGTTACCCACCCCACTCGTCCTGCACACCGAGCTACAATCGACCTCAGAACTCCAACTCCTCGAAAACCCACAGCCAAAATGAGTGTTCACTAACAAAACCCCGAAATCCTTCAAACAAGTCTCGAATCAAACCCCAGACTACGGCAAGTACGAGATTCAATTTCCCCTAGCTGGCGTACTACTCATACAAACAACCACCACAATCAACCCGGAATCATAAAAACAAAAATAAAAAAATCGAAAACCAGAAATTCGAGAGCGCCACTAATTCTCGATACTCACAAGATACCAAGCAAACAAAAGTCGACAGCGATGATCTGAAGTGAAAAATGTGGCAATGACAACACAAAGCAGATGGCTGCGTAGCGAAGCAGGAAGAATCAACTAGAAAACGAGGGCCTAGCTTAGGGTTTCATCCATACAAGGATGAATGATGGGAGGCCACCTTCGCCGAGGATATGGATGAAGCGGAGCGATCTCATCTGTAGGAGTGGGTGGATATGAAGTGTCAGCAGACAGCTGTGCCACGTGGAGATTCCCCGTTGGTGGGACCTGGAATCCCCCACAATGCCTATCCAGAATCTTATTCAAAGGATTGTGCTTACGTGGCTGTAGGAAATGGGTTCCGCCACGTTGGCAGAAACTTTAGGCACTTAAATGTAAACGGGGCCTTTCACCAACACTCTCTAACAAATAGTGTGGAAAGGGGAAAAAGAAGAGTGAATTCCATGAATGAGTAAAAACTGATAGCCACTATGGAACCAACCAAGAGAAATGTTCAACCAGTCAATCTAAAAACTAAAATCTACAACAACAAAATAATATTTGAAGTTTTACAAATCCATTTTTTTTATTATTTTATTAATTATTTTATTTTATTTTACTTGTATTACATAGGGTTGTGGTTGAGTAACATAAATCTTGCAACACATACACACTAATTACTAATATATTCACCAAACTTGAAATGTAAGGGATTCTCCTATTCTTTCATTATGTTCCACAGTGGTTTTGTGAAGCACGAAAAATTTGTAATACAACCAACAAAGAGTGGCTAAATATTACCAACTTATAATTATGTCTTGTTTACTTACTTAGCTAAATTAAATACACAAGCTATTACATAAGACAACTTAGATACAATACAAACAGATAAAAGAAGAATTCTAATTGGATATGAAGAAAATAACTCAGGGAATTAAGAAACATGGAAAAGAATAACAAAATGAATAAATGTACTAAAGATCACAGTGCCCAATATTACAAGTTTTTGCTAGTTATCTATATATATATATATATTTAGGCAAAAAATTATTATATGCATTTTCTACAATTTGTACTTATGTGGATTTTAACTTTACTTTAAAAGTTTTCAAAGACTAACTTTATGTTATTTTTAGCATAAATATTATTTTTTAAAATCTAAATATAAATAAATATATATATATATATATTAATAAAAATATATGTAACTCCAAACAAAATATAAATTAAAGTGTCTAAAGGATATAATTACATCTTTAGTTAGAGTAGAAGTAGTTGAAAATTTTGTTTTGCCTTTAGTTATAACAATTTTTTAGAACTTTTGAAAATAATTTAATATTTTAGCCACCATTAATCACAAATTATAATTTAATTTAATTTCAAGTTTTAATTTTATTCTACATAATTAATATATTATTCTGTAATGCATTGCAACCACAAAAAAATACTATCATAAATTAATTTTAGAAATAATTGTGATATAAATTGGTAATCTGACTACGTCTTGTTTTTATTAAATGGTATAGCAAGTGTTACATAAAGCATTATATGTACCTTTGATGCAAGCACAAGTTTTCATTGGTACATGCTTTCAAGTACTATTTTTTATTAATAAAAAATGAAACTTCTTAATAAAACATAAATTTATATAGTGATACAAATCTTATTATATTTGAAACCATCTTTTTGATTGACAATCCATCATATATATATATATATATATATATATTATGATTTTTACTAAAAAATATATGATTTTTTTGAAATTCCTTTCAATTTCGTATATTTATTTATTTTTTGGAATAATAATTTGTATAATTTTTTAATTCTTATATGGCTTTAAATGATTAGTTATATCTTATCATAGAATATTATAAAACTAATTTTCAAAAATTTGAGCAATATTAACTTCTATCTAACAAATTTTATGTTTTTATCAATTTAATTGGTTTTTATTATTTTACACATCTATCATATTTATTTGACTAAACTTCAAGTAAATTTATATTATTTCATGAAAGTGTATTTATTATTATACAAATTAGACATTATTTTATAGAATTTTATGCTTAGATATTTGATTGCTTATTTTATTTATATTAATGAACTACATTATGAAATTAAAAGTCATAATACACAAATTTTATGAAATATTATAATTTGACTTAAATTACTAAAACCAATACTTTATTTAATAAAATAGTTTAGATTCAATTACTCTATTAAATATCTTTGTCATAAATTCGAGAACATAACTTCAATTTAAAAATAATTTCAAGTATAAACTAGCCTTAATTTATTCCGATTTTTACAATATTTTATACTTTTGAAATGTTGAACCATTAGATTTTTATAGATATGCTGCATGGCTATTAAAATTTTTCCAACAAGTTTTTTCCTTTGAAAAAGCCATGTTAAAAGTTACATAACTTGATGCTCAAGCCACAATTCTTATGGTACTTAATTAGCTTTCGCAAGGCCTTTTTGATAACTAATATTTATAGAGGTATAAATAAGATCATCTCTATTCTTGTCAATGCCTTTCTTGTATTTTAATCTTGTTTAAAGAATTTCTAGTTTTTCAATATTTGGCAATAGCTATTATAGTCTTTTTCTTTTCCTTTTGAAACTCAAGTTTATTCTTTTATTTATATTTTTTCTCCATCAATAATACATAAATGTATTGACTTTCAAGTTTTGTCTAGATTCATGTCCTTGAAGTCAAATATATATATTTTCAAATATATAAATACATTTATATTTATATTATGTTTATTTCATTTTTTTAAAATTAAAATAACACAAAGTTTTGTAAAAATATTGTACAAATTAAGTGGTTTATATAATATTACATGATCACGTAATTGCATTCATTTCTTTTATTGAAAATCAATGAAATAAAATTATAAATTTTATTTTATTACTAATATGTGTTTATATCTTCAGAATGATTTTTACTTTGCATTCTAAGTATTTGGACTATTATCCAAAATTATAACTACATGCTAATTTAATGAAGGATCTTAAAAAAATACAATAATAAATTATTGGATTCACTTTGAGATTTTACTCATTGTCTAACACAAAAGAACTTTCACAGGTTTTGCTAGAGTGAGGACAATGTTTTCAAAACAAAGATCTGATTAAGAATTAATAATTTAAAATAATAATCTTGCACTGCGAATCCTATTTCTTTACTCAACTTGTACTTCAATTTTTCTTCTTTTGGTGCTATATCATTTTATTGATAAGATCTAATTGTGATTTATCACAAATTTAACATCAGACTAATAATAAGAAATACATTTATAAATCATTCATTTTCTTCTTTTGGTTTTTTCTTAATTTAATAGATATATTAAACTTCACATTTGATATTCAAATAAAATTTATAATCCCAATTGTTGTTGTTGTTCTTGATTTATTTACTTATTTTCTTATTTTTCACTTGCTGATGACTGCTGCAATATCAAAGAGCACACAAGTAGTAAGTATTCATTTCATCAGCTAAACTTATAACATTACCAAAAATAAATTCTTATATAAAGAAGTATAATAATTTATATCAATATATATTTATATTTATATTTATATATTTAATATCAAAAATATATTTACATTCTTAAATGTACAAATAGAAAATAATCAACATAATATAGTAACTAATTTCTTAATTCATTATGTGATTAAATATGTTTAAGGTAGAAAAAAGGTTTATATATATATATATATATATATATATATATACATATTTCATGATTTTTGAGATTAAACAAGACATCATGTAGATATAATTAAAATTTATATATTCTATCCATTGTATTTTTCTTGATGTATTAATTCATAGTTGATTAATAAATAATAATTTGGTATTATGTTTTAAACAATTGAAATGTTTTTGTAATTATTAGTTTCTTTTAAAAATAAAATAGTTATAGACTTTTAAAAAAAATTATATACATCATAATAATTGTTTAGAAATACATATGAAATATAAGAATTGAAATCAATTCAAGTGTAAAACATTTTATATGAAAACATTACATAAAGCCATCACAATCAATGTTTTATGTAAACATATTTTTTATTTAAAAAAGTCTCCGATTCTCAGATTAAAAAAAATAAAAATAAAAAAAAAAAATCCGTGCTAATTATCATTTATAAATATTTTTGATTCCTGCACTAAGGAATTTTTATAGATCAATTGCTCATTTTATAAAAGTATATTTTAAAATGTTTATGCTAAAATTGTAATCATTATTGTTTCAAATAAAATTCTCAAAAAATAGTTACGAATTTTTATTATATGTTCTAAGATATTATATATATATATATATATATATATATATATATATATTTAAACGAGTTATTTTTAAAAATGAAAAAATAATATTTTAAAATAGAATATTTATTTTATTATAATCAATATAATCATTCATATTACTAAAAGACCAAAATTATTTATTTTATTGATTTAATATCAATTATGAAAATAATTGAAAAATATATTTTTAGTTTCAAAAGGATATTAAAAATATTACATTTTAGAACATTGAGTTATGTTTTTATTACTTAATTTTAGAATCTGAGACCCTATATCAAAACAATTCTTAAAATGTATGCAGAAAATCTACTTTATAAAAGAATTTAAAAGTATAAAAATATTAATGACACACTTATATTATATTTTTATAAAAATACATGTGTCAAATAAGAGATAATATTTCACTTTACTTCAGTGGCAATGTGTGATTTTTTATTTATTTATTTATTTTTTACATCTAAATGTTGTATAAGATTTATTATTTTTTTTTCCAAGTAAATATGTTGACAAAAAAATCTTTATGTTGTATTTTGTAATTCACATGTAACTCAATGTTTTCAAAAATTCCGATACATTTAACAAAGAATACAATTGTTCTAAAATAATACATATTTTGCAAATGGTTAGTTTAAACATTTGGTTTTATAATTATGCAATTAGCGTGTACAATATATATTTAAAATTTTTATCTATTCATAATTATTGTAATTTTTTGTAATGTTATATTTTTATTTAATTGTTGTTAATTTTTTTTAATGTCATATAAACTTAAGAAAGTATTGTGAAAAAAGAA